AGGTGTTGTATGTATAGTTAGTATACGACTATTAGGACAGTGTTAGGTGTTCGTATGTATAAGTTGTTATACCGACATTAGGTACCAGGTGGTTAGGGTGTTCGTATGTATAAGTTGTATACCACATGGCCAGGTGGTTAGGGTGTTCGTATGTATAAGTTGTATACCACATGGCCAGGTGGTTAGGGTGTAATCTGTGGGTCGCGGGTTTGAATCCCCGTCACACCAAACATGCTCGCCCTTTCAGCCGTGGGGGCGTTATAATGTGATGGTGTAGCCCAAAAGTTGGCGGTGGGTGGTGATGACTAGCTGTCTTCCCTCTATAGTCTCACACTGGTAAATTAGGGACGGCTAGTGCAGATAGCCCTCGTGTAGCTTTGCGCGAAATTCATAACAAACAATCTTGCAATAGATACTTAATTATGTCTCGAAATAATAATAATAATAAAGAACGAAGTTATAATTTAGACTTGTTAACAGATAAGTTATTGTTAATCTGTAGTCTTTCTGTTCATAATCTGGGATAGCCAGCGCATATAATCCTTGTGTAGATTTCTGTGAAAAACCGAAACAAACACAGACAGACTTGACTTTAAGCACTAGTTAGACACAGTTAGGTCTAGGATTATAACACCACGCTTAGAAACCAAATCGGGCAACAAGTTTAAAATAATTTTACATACGTGTGCGTATATATTCAAGTAATTGTTGAACTCCTCCCACAGTTTTTCACAAAATAATAAGAAATTTTACGTGTAGTCCTCGTGTCTCCCACACGATACCAACGGAGTTGTGAGGGCCCACATAAATTAGGCACGTGTTTTCTTGGGGCTGTTTTTCAGGTTTGACTGAAAAGTCGTACAAAGTAGACGTGTGTAAAACAATCTTAAGTTATGATTTTATTAACTTTAGAATCTGAATCACGTATGGGGGGGGGGGGCAAGGGTGTTTTCTAGTACTGTTTCCGCGCACTTGCATGAAAATACACACACAGACGTGTAAATTATCGTTCAAAATAAGAATTTATTTTTGGGTTTTCGAAATCTTCAGTTTGGAGATCAAGAAAGTTTAGGTAGCAGAGTGCTCTTGATAGTGGCTTCGCGGATTTACTTTGAAATTAATAAAACCATTTAAGTAGTTGTTCAAAATGTTTTGCGTGTTTCTTGTTTTCCGTGAATTTTCGCGATAAACGTATTTGGAAATTTCACTTTGATGGAAAACGGCTTACCCAACGATACTTCGTTTAATGTTGTAGCAGTTAAAAGTTACAACAGGATGGCTGACCATCTTGTACCAAGATATATTACTCATATTGTTACCAAGTTTTGTATAACGAAGACAGCAACAACGTAAAGCTACATTTGTGTAGAAGAAGTGAGTCATACAGGCGTGTAGGTTATGAGAGCCAGTCAAATATTTTTTATTGTGTGGACGTAATATATAGATGGCGCTCCAGGTCCTAGATTACGTATTGAATATAGTTTTTCAAGGGCGGGCACTTGACTATGAATGAATACATTCATAATTTATTTTCGAAATCTCCGAATTACAGTTTATTTTTTCACCTCTGGCGTCACTGGCCCGTAGATTGCGTGGTTTATCCTGTTATTGCGATAAATGGCACCATTCCTTTTAAAGGTAACTGTTATTGACCGATAAATAAAAACGCTCGCGGATTCTGAAAACTCCACTCTGTTTTTGGAGTCTTTTGCGCGTCAAGTGTGCGCAGCATTCCTCCGAAACTCGGTCGTTAACGTGTGTAAACAAATTATATTACCGTATCATATGCGGACGAGAGAACAGAGGTCGTAGTATAGTGAGCACGGCATAATGACTGATAGCCTCATTGACGGCGCGTTTACGTAACAGATGTTTTCATTAACTCTTTTGTTTTTTTATTTTCTGGAAGTAGCTTTAGAGTTGGGAAAAACGCATTGCCCAAAAGCGGAAGCCAATTTTTTTATTTTGGGCAACTGTTAAGAAAGGATTTTTCTTTCAAAACACTTGGACATTACGCTTAATTCTTAGTAATGTGTTGTTCTTTTGTATTTTTTGTGCATTACCTATATACGGGACACCCAGTGGCACGACGGCAGGCCTGCGGACTTACACTGCTGGAAACCGGGTTTCGGTACACGTGGTGGGCAGAGCACAGATAGCCCATTTTGTAGCTTTGTGCTTAATTACAAACCTGTATAAAGGTCAATT